GAGCAATACAAACCTGAGGCTGGAGGTCAGGGCAGTATGTCGGCAGGACCAAGGTGTGTGGTGCGGCTCAGATAGGACTCCAGAGACAGGGTGCCAGTGTGTAGTCCTGAGCACTCAAGGGCGGTCTTCATAGAACCACTCCTCAAGACAGTGGAGAGTAGGTGTAATGGTCAAGGAGATCTAGTCGGAATCTGTTCTGATAGCCCAGATGAGAAGGAAGGAAGCGCGTACCAGGCTGATGACAGCAAGCTGGTGGTGAGAAATAGTCAGACGTTGTTTCTCTGTGTAGCGTCTCCAGGAATTATATGAGGAGAAAAAGTCAAAGGAGTTTCCCTTATTAGCAAAACAACCAATGAAGCGCCTCTACACGTTTTTCCGGAATGTCTGTGGATTAACCCTTTAAGAATGAAACCCATAAGAATTATATTTTAATGAAATGTCTTTTGCCTCTAAGAATCGAAAAGGTGTGGGTCCGAGATGGCGCCGCGTATTTCTATGGCCCAATCTTCATTCACCCAGAAGAAACGGAGCATGAGCCCACAAAAATGTTCTACAAGAAAGAAGTGTTTCTGAGCAATCTGGAGGAAACCTGCCCCATGACATGTGTTCTCGGTAGGTGTCTGGCACGTAAGTTGATTATGTCCAAACTCTGATTGTGTCAGTCACTGCTGTCGGTGCTGGGTCTAGTAAGCAAGTCGCGAGATCAGGTGATAATAAGGGCTATGAATGAGAATAACGTGAGGCAGGGGCTAGAAATCAGTGTTTGGGAGAAGCCCTATTTGGGGGGGGGTGTCTAGCAGAACCGATCTGATGGATTACATATGTGTTGCCCTGGTGGGGAGGGGGGCACCATTGAGATACCTTTCAAGCACAGAAAGCGCCAAATGCAGAGGCTTTCAGGCAGAGTTACTGGGTGTTCAAGAAACATGGCTAGGTTCCTAGAATGGGCAAGAAAGTGGGTGTTTAGGAGATGAGCTCTCCGGGGTGGTAGGGCACCTCTCTGAGGTGGTAGGACTTACAAGCAATACAAAGACTGTGCACCGAGTTTGGGATAAGTCTTGGGGAGGGGCTCCCTCGCCTGGTCGAACACGTGTCAGCCGCATGTGTGCACTCGCTAGGCTCTGAGGTAAACCAGTCAAAGGAACTCCCAGCTCGGCTCCGGTGAGTCGTTCTGCTCCCCTCTCCGTGGCACTCCTTTCTTACTTCAGGTGCGTCTCTCGTGAGCTCTTATCACATGGTATGTTCTCCAGATCACAAAAAAGTAAGTTCCCACCTATTGTAGGACACAGTCCAATTGATAACACACCTTGCTAGTGGAATTTTTATTTCAGTTATTATGCTTTTCAGCTCCCTGATGTCCATGTCATTCTTTTATAGCATTTCTACCTCTTTATCGTATTCCTTATTTATTGAGAACTAACTGGCTTCCACTAGTTCTTCCCCCATGGTTTCCTTAGCCCTTGAGCATGTGTGAAACGGTTGAAATAAAGGCATTGCCTGGAAAGTCCAATGTCTGAACTTTCTGAGGAACAAATGTTTTCTCTTCATTTTTTTCTTTTGTCTATGATTGAATCACACTTTCTTGTTCTTTGAAATGTTTTACTGAAAACTTGGCATTTTGAATGTTTAATGTGATAACAATTAAGGTAAATCAGACTCTATCCCTTCTCAAGATTTGCTGATCTTGCTTCTTTTTTGTTTCCCCCTGTTTCTAAACCAGCGCTCTGGGGCTTAATGGGGCACACGGGGCTGCTAACCCCACAGGGGTTCCGCAGGGTCTGCAGTTTGGGAACCACCTGCCATTCCTTGGGAGAAAAACTGAGGCTTTCTGTTGATGCCGCAAAGAGTCACAGCTTTGGAATCCCACCAGTGCAGTTGTTTTCTTCTTTGGTACAGATGTTACAGTCCATCATCTGGATTTTTTAAACAGTTACGTTGGCACTTTGTCTACATATCATACAATTCAGTAGCTCAAATCATATTAAATAGAATTGTACAGTCATTACCACAATCAATTTTAGAACATTTTCTTCCTTGTACTTATTGTTATTAGTGTAATTACACAATAAAACATTCTCCAGTTTAATAGCTTCTACATGTATATTCAGTATCACTGATTACACTCTTCATAGTAGGCAGCCCTTATTGATATCCTTTCCCGTTTACTCCGCCACCATTCGTAGAAACTTAATGCCCCTAAGCAAAAACTCGTCCTCCTTCACCCATGGTGGTTTGGGGGGTGGGGTGGGTAGTGGTTTTCTTAATATAAAATTCACATATCATACCCTTCCGTAGTTCAGTCACTTTTTAAAAGAGTTGTATACATATCATCAGTCAGTTTTAGTGCTCCCTCCCGCATTCATTGTTTGCTCCCCAATTCCCCTTACCCTCCCCACCCCACCAACTCTGATAAACCATTGCCTTAGTCATTGCCTCTATGCATCCACTCCTGTGTTTCATAAACAGAAAGCTAGAAGAAGCAATAAAAACAATGACAAAGATAAAGAGTAAGAAAGAAAAGACTACCAACAATATTTTAAAAGCCAGAAAAGAAATTTCTGTCATGGAATGAGCAAGAAATAGTTAGGCCTAGAAAAGCAAGTTCATTTTGGGTGGAGAGGGAAAGCTTGTGCCATGGTTCAGTCCACCATGATCAAGTTGACAATCATCTCTGTCTGATGGTAAAGCTGTTCTAGTCCCTTGCCTATGGCCAGAGGG